TTTATTAGAAATATTTACGGACAAATACAAATCATTGTCAATTCAATTGCAATTTCTGGCAGCACAGCAACTGAGAGATGATGACAAAAGCAGGAAAGAAAGTAAACCTGGAATGTTCCAGATGATATTTTCCACACTTTTAATTGTGCTTTTCCCACTTTCAGTTGTGCTTTTCCCACCCTTTGTTGGGGTTCACCCCAATGGACCAGGGTGACTGTCATGCAGAGATCTGTTTCAGTGCTGTGATGCCAGTTTTTAAGAGCCAGTTTCTTTTGGAAAACTTCTTTGTCCCACTTTCTCATTTGAGAGGTTTGGAAAAGGGAATCCCCACTTCCACAGCCAGCCCAGAGAGGGCTCCAGGGTGGTTTAGCCCCACGTGGGAGGTGACACAGCCACAGCTCAGTGCTCTGGGTGCTCCCTGTGTGTTTGATCCCAGATTTTCTCTCCGTCCTGGGAGGGAAAACTGGACAAGGCTTTGGCTGCTCCACTCCCAGCCAAGCCTGGGACTGTTCTAAGGGACAGAATTCCCAAGGAAAACAACCCAGCACCAGGGGCAGCAGGGCACTGCCATTACCTGTGCACAGGCATATTGAGCAAACGAGAGGCTGCACGGGGAGCTTTGGCCACGGGCTGCTTCCAGAAACTTCTCCTGGCTGGCACTGGGGGGAAAAAAAGACATCACTGGGCCAGCTGTGCCAGGAGCTGGGGCAGGATGGGGGGAGCTGGGGCAGGACTGGGTGAGGAGATGGGGAAGAACTGGATGGGGGCAGGACTGGAGGGGAGCTGGGAGCAGAACCAGCAGGGTACTGGCACCCCCTTAGCCCTAGAGCTGCAAACACAGCAAAGGGCACACCTGCCAAGCCCAGAGAGTCAGTGAAAGGCACCTGAACCCCCCTGAGCACCAGGGTTTGCTCCCTGCCTGTCCCCCCCCAGCAGGGACAGCCATTCCCTGTTCCCATCCCGGAGCAGGAGCAGTGCCAGGCAGCCACACCAACCACCCCTGGCAGCAAACACAGCAGAACAAACCCACACGGGATGAGAATGAGCTGCTGCCACCATCTGGGAGCAGGGAGAGGGCACAGATGAATTGTTGACCCTCAGGTGTAAGTCAAGTTCAATCTAAGCCTGAAGCAGAGCTGTTTGAGCCTTAAGCCCCACCAGGAGCCAAGATAAGCTCAGCACCAGTGCCAAGGTTCTTGGCTCACACTCCAGGGACTTGCCCTGCCTTTCTTTGTCCTGTACAGACACAAAACCCCAGGAAGGTATTTTCCCTTCACTGTTTAAACAAGTGCAACTCCAGCCCTCCCTGCCCACGAGTAACCCCAGGACTGTGGGGGGAGAAAGGTCCCACCCCTGGTTTCAGAGGGATCCTGCTTCCCCAGAAAACCAGGATCACTCCCAAGGGAAATGCTGCCAAGACAGTTTGCTGGTGGGTCACATACCTTTCCACTGAGGCACACAGGGCAGACTCTGATCCCCAAAAAAAGAGAGAAAAACAGAGACAAAGGAATTGTGAGAGGAATACAAACACAGAACCGTGTGGGAATGTTCCTTCTGGAGGTCACTTGGGAAGAAACTCACCGTTGACAGCGGAGCTGGAGCACTGCACAGGGAGACAGGGAGAGAAGAGGTGGTGTTATCATGGAATTGTGATGTTATCATGGAATTGTGATCATTGCACAGACAAATGGGTGAGCTGCAACCATTTGGACTGGGGTGTGCCCTGAAAACACTCCAATGCCCACATCCAGAGTGTTCCCATTTTGCCATCTGCAAAGTTCCCATGTTTTACTGGCTCTGTGCCTCCAACAGCTGGAAAGTCCCAGGTTTGGGAGCACTCCCAGCCCTCAGGTGTGACGTCCAGTGGGATGGACTGTCTGATGATTTGACCAGGGTGAGTCTAGTGGATGGATGAGCTTTAAGGTCCCTCCAACCCCAGCCATTCTGGGACTCTATGATATTTTAAACACACAAATCTGCCTTACCAGGTATGTCCCAGCAGAAGCTCCAGCAGTTCCTTGCCACCCTGGAAGACAACATGCAGTGATTTTAGAGCAAATCCAGGATAAGGCTCATTCCCACAGCCCAGCCCCTGTCTGAGTCAACCAACCCTGACCATCCCTCAGCTCCCTGCAGTATTTTATTTCTCACTTTTGACCCAGTATTTCACATATTTTCATTCCTGCTGTCACCTCTGAGGGGTGAACAGGCACAAGATCCTCCTGTACCCAGCCAGGCCAGTCTGGCTGTGTCTTAGATGACATGAGGGATGTCTTGCACCTCTATCCCCAAAGAGGAAAAGGCAGGGAGAGGGGAAAAACCAACCCTCTGGGGACAGTCCTTCTCTCCAGGACTTCCTTGCCTTGCATCCCCTGTGCACCACAGCCAGGGATCAGCCCAGGGATCCACTGGCCCTGATGCCATTCTTCCCTGCCCTGATTCCATTCTTCCCTGGCCTTGATTCCATTCTTCCCTGCCCTGATTCCATTCTTCCCTGGTCTTGATTCCATTCTTCCCTGCCAGTGGACAAAGTTGGGCTGTTTCCACCTGACAATCCCTTCCTGCTCCCCCCAGGATGGGGCCTTGGGAACATCCATCATTTTGGCCCCCACTTGGAAAGCTTTTATGAATATGTGTAATTATGCAAATCATCCCACTGACCCGAGAGAGTATCAGGAACACCCACACAGGGAGGAGGAAGAGGAGGAAGGGCAATATCACAGAGGAGCCAATATCCCAATCAATATCCCAACCAATATCCCAAAAATCCTCATGTATGGCAATAAATTCTTCATCTCACAACATCCCAACCAAGGCCACGGGCTCATCTTGTGTCATGAACCCCCTGAGACACAAATCCTCCCCTGTGGCAGCAAAGCCCTTCCCAACACTGCCTTCACTCCTGGGCTTGCCAGGGCACAGGAACCCAGGCTGTGGCAATTCCATGGAACTTGTAACACACAGTGGAATGCCATAATTCCCAGAGAAGCTGTGGCTGCCCCATCCCTGGAAGTGTCCAAGGCCAGGTTGGAGCAACCTGGTCTAGTGGAAGGTGTCCCTGCCCATGGTAGGGGGTGGAACTGGGTGATCTTTAAAGTCCCTTCCCACCCAAACCATTCCAGGATTCTCTGATTCTATTAACAGAGTTAATCAGATTCAGCTCTGATTATTCCTTAAGTGCATTCCCAGAGACATCTGGATACTCCAACAACAGGAGCAGGGAGCAGATAGCTCTGAAATCACAGGAAGAGAATCAATTCCAGTTGTGTCTTTCCATGCTGTTTATTACCAAGCCTAAAATATTTCACTTCCCAGATCCAATAACAAACAAGAATAACAAAAAGTTGAGGGTTTAGAGCAGCCACCAAAGCAACATTCAATGGTCTTTCAGCACAATTCTCCCTTTTGAGGATTATCTCTGGTATGGAATATCCTCCTGGAACACCCTCCACTCCATGGTCCTACTCACCAAGCAGAAGGAGAAATCCCAGCCCTGGGAGTAAAGGAGGCATTTCTGGAAAGGTCTTCAGAACACCCACAAGTGTGAGGAATCACCTTATTTCAGAAAAAAAAAATAGAATAAATAAAAATCAAATTAATTGCAAAACTAAACTCGGAGGAGGGAAGTTAAAAGGTGACGTCTCACATGCAAATTTAGACACACCAACACCCTCCACAAAATACAAATCAGACCCAAAGCACACAAAAAACTGCTGGGGGTCTGCTCTGCCTGGGATAGCCAGTGGAGAGTTTGGAGTTAGTTAATCCAGGTCATTGTTATCCATGTCCTGAGCCAGGTTCCCTGTGGCAGAGGGGGAGAGGTGGCCCAGCCCCTGGACACTCACCTGGGATCTCCTGGAGTGCAGGGCATGGTCATAGCGGGCTCCTTTTCACTGAGCAAACTGGGGTGTGTCCCCGGCTCCTCAGACCTGCATCTCCCACTGCAGGATGGGTTTGGAGCCCTGGACACACCTCTCAGCTCTTGAGAACACAAATGTTTCGTAGCACAAGTCACTGGGTGCTGTTTGTTAATGCCTGTCATTCCTGGGAAACAGGAGGAAGCGGAGGCGGGATGAGAGCCCTGAAGAGGTGAATTCCCGCCCCTGCCCTGCATGGGACGTGAACAAAACTGAACCTGTGCTCCAGGACAGAGCTCCTCCAGGACCGCCTTCCTCCAGTTACCAAGGGAATCTTTGCAATCAGGAAATTTTGCTTTGGTGGAGCTTGAAATGGTTGAAACTTCTGGAAAATTTCTGCTTCCTCCAGTTGTCCCAAAGAGAAACACATGGAAGTTGCTCTGCTGGCCAGTCAGGGCGTGGAATGGGATGAAGCTGTGTAAGGGAGGTTGAGATGGATCTCAGGAAAAGGTTCTTCCCCCAGAGGGTGGTTGGCACTGACCAGGCTCCCCAGGGCAGTGGGCACAGCCCCAAAGCTGCCAGAGCTCCAGGAGGGTTTGGACAACACTGAGAGAGAGGGTGGGATTGTTGGGGTGTCCCAGGAGGGGCAGGAGTTGGACTGGATGACCCCTTCCAGCTCAGGACATTCTGTGATCCTGAGATTCCAGATCCTAGGGCTGCTGGACTGGGGGAGCTGCCCCAGGCTGAGCCAGGTCAGTCCCCCAGACACAGATCTCCCCACTCAGGGAGAGCAGCTGGGGGGGCTGAACCCAAAATCCAACAGGGCAAGGCTGGGACTGGCACAGGCAAACCCAGGGCACAACCAGCTGCCCCAATTCCTTGAGGAACCTTTCCTTGCTGAGGGGCTCGGGGGGCCCGTGGCACACACTGGGCTCATGCCAAGGTGCCCAGAACCTGCACCCAAGTGGTCCGTGGGCTCCAGCACCTCATGAACAAACATCAAGGAGCCCCCTGAGCAGGAATGTCATTATCCAATGGCTCCAGAATCACAGTCCAGAGATCTCTGTCTCCCTATCACCGGAATCCGCTTTTCCCTCCTCAAACTTTCATTTCCTTGCTGCAAATCCTGGGACAGAACTTCAGGGCTTTTCCAGCTCCTGCAGGCTGCTCTGTTTTAAAAACTAAGTAATGTTGGTGCTATTAAAGAGCTCACCTTTAGTTTGAAGGGGTCTTTATACAGGAGCTGAGGAGTGACTTTGCCCTGCTCCTTCATCCAAATCCCACCTGGTGATGTTCCCCAGGATCTCCCAGGCCTGTGGAGCAGCAGTCAGAGGGATCTCCTGGTTTGGAGTGATCCTGTGCTCTCCTCAAGCTCTCAGCCCACCAACACTTCAGCAAAACAGACTTGGCAAACACAATCTGCAGGAATAAAATGAGAGCTGCTGCAGAGTCTAACAAGGGATGGATATTAAATTAGATTCCCCCCATTTCAGGCTTCTTTTTGCTGACCTTTGGATCTGATCCCCCAGGTTACTGAGAAACCCAGAGTAACTTTGAATCTCTCTGGGCACAGTGGGGTAATTTTACACCTCGGATTTGAAAAAACCTGTGTTTGGTCACTTTATTGATGGTTTGCAGGAGCAGTCCTGTGCCAGGCTCAGACATGCCCCATCATGCCCACCTACAGCTCATGTTTGTGCCAGTGTTGACTCACCATCCCCACCCACCCAAACCTGGCTCCCTCCACACTCCCAGTCCTCTTACCCCACTTCACGTGTCCATCAGCTATTTTGGAACTGGTGCAGCAGCAAGCCATGAATGCAGTTTGTCTGACTCACAGCGTGTGAAAGTGCTTTCACCAACACAAATCATCTTGGGATTGGACCAATTCACAGACTCAGAGTTCAAAGCAAGGAACCTCTTCTCCAGGATTCCCAAAGGAGATGTCCTGGAGCTGGGGGAGGGGGGGGGATCCTTCCATCAGCTTTCAAACACCAAAGCCCTCAGTGTCTTGCACCTTTGGGATCAGTGTTGGAAGAGGGTTGTCCATGACAGAGGGTCAAGTGGGAAAGGTGCTGTGGAGCTGCTGGACAAAGTGTGGGTCCATGGAAGAGTCAACCAGGAGAGCAGCAAAGGGCTCTGCCACCTGCAGCCAGATCATGGAATCATGGAGTGTTAAGGGGTTGGAATGGACCTTGGAGATCACCCAGTGCCACCCTCTGCCATGGGCAGGGACACCTCCCACTAGCCCAGGTTGCTCCAAGCCTCATTCAACCTGGCCTTGGACACTTCCAGGGATCCAGGGGCAGCCACAGTTTCTCTGGGCAACCTGTGCCAGGGCCTCCCCACCCTCACAGAGAAGAATTCCTTCCGAATATCCAACCTGAATTTCCCCTCTTTCAATTTGTACCCATTCCCCCTTGTCCTGTCACCACAGTTCCTGACAAAGAGTCCCTCTCCAACTTCCCTGTAGGACCCTTCAGGTCCCGGATCTGGGGCTTCTCAGCTGCAGGAAAATGGGAACACAGAGCAGGAATGTTGGTAAAACCTGCTCTCAGTGGGAGACAACTGGACACCTGCTCTTGTCCAGGCAGCAGAGAGCTGGGAGAAGTGTCCAAGGCTGCCCAGCCCACGCCCTGCTCTGTGGCTGTGCCCAGGCTGCCCTTGGTAGGTCTGTGAGGGAGATTTTGGAGATCACCTGTGACAACAGTCACCTTCAGCTCAATATAATTACACAGGAGACCCCTCTCTGCCTCACCTTCCTCTACAACCTCCTTGTTCCCTGAACTGGAGCCCAGCTCTGCCCCAGGATCACCAACACACCCCCCGAGGTGAGGTGGGAAGGGGGGCCACGGAACCTGCAGTGGGTGGGACAGCCCTGGGACGTGATTTGTCCCGTGGCAAAGTGAGTCAGAGCCTTCCCACCCAGCCTGGCTGGGCAGGAGCAGCCCCAAGTGTGGCTCAAGTGTCCTCCAGTCACAGCACAGTGCACAATTGCTGTTCCTGCTGTGCTGAGCCAGGTGTGACCAGAGGAAATAAATCCTCCTCAGTCCCATCTCCAGCAGGCAGGGCACACGCCCTGCTGGCCCCAGCTGAGCTCTGCCCTGTGGCACTCACCCAGCACAAAGGGGCTTTGTGCTCTCCCAGCAAAGCCAGGTCTCCCCTCAGGAGAGCAGCCTCATGTCCTGCAAGGCTCAGGCTTTTCCTGAAGCCAGTCAGACCACAGCCAGTTCCTCTGGGACCTTGCAGGGCCCAGACACCTCACCAGCTCTCCTTTCACTGCCCCCAAACATGACTCAGAATCTGGAGAGGTTTAGAAACAGCAATAACAGAGCACAAAGTAAAGAATAAAAGCTAAAAGGGCAGATAAAAGATTAAAATATTACAGGTGCTGTGGAAATTATACCAAGTCACACTGAATGCTCAAAGCAAACAAAGAAAATCCAACTGTCCTGGTGGAACACAGAGGCAAAGGAGGCTCCTGGAAGCACAAACTTTCTTTCAAAAACTTGAAATTATTTTTCTGTGTCTTCATTAGTTGTTTCTTGAAGAAGGAATCTGTGAGGGCCCTGCTGGGACAACATGGCCCAGGTGTAAACAAGGATTTGGAGACATTCAGGGCTAAAAGGGAAACTGGATTAATTCTTTGTATCATGTCCATCCCATTAAACCCCTTCATGACATGAGCACATCCCACAATGGATCTCCCACGTAGACACATCAAAATGCCCAAAGTAAACGACCTTGGAGAGTCCAGGAGAAGCACAACATGACCCAGCTGCACTGTCCAGTCCCTCGGACCAGGGGACACAAGAGCAGCCTGGAGAAGGTTCTCCAAAGCAGGCTGGAGGCAGAATCAGAAGGAGAAAGAGCCGTGAAGGTCAAGTCCCAGCCTGGAGCAAAGCTCCTTTCTTTGGTGAGCAGGAGCAGGTTTGCTGCCCAGTCAGCTGAGCTGGGTGGGGTCCAGAGCTGACAGAAGGGATAAAGGGACACCAGTGATGCAAAACCTGTGGTTTAAGGTATAAGCAGCTCCAAGCCCACAACAATGAGCTTGTTATGATAGGCCAGCACCTGCACTCAGCTCTTCCTGTCCCTCTGCCACAGATCTCAGGTGTGATGGGACTTGGCACACGAAGGAAGAGCCCCAGTAACTGAGAGTCTGTGTGAAACTTCTCCTCTCCTTATCTCTCCAAACCAGGAAACTCTGCTAAAGACTGCCCACACGAGAAGAGATTTGAGTGGCAGGGACCCACCCAGCACTGCCCTGTGGTCACAGCAGAGCAGATCCTGCTGCTCTGCACCAAACCCTCTGTCACCAACTGCAGAACCCCAGAGGAGAAAGTCAGGAGAGCTCTCCAGGTGCTCATCACCGGCTTAAGGGTGGATCAGTCCAACAAGCACTTTGCCTGGGGCAACATCCTGTGCTGGCAGCCTGAAAGGTTCTGTTTGAAAGCAGAAGATGCATTCTTGGGAAGACTCGTCCTGCAGGTAAAACCCACCACTGGGGTTGAACATCCTGCTGTGGGCAGTGCTGGGAAGAGGAGCCTTGTCAGGAATGGGCAACTGGGGTGTTTGGACCCGTTCCAAACCCACCCATCCTTATCTTGGCATAGATCTGTGAAAATATGTGCCAGTGCCCAGGTGCCAGCAGCTCTGTGACTGTGCTGTTTGGTAAATGTGACTGCCTGGTAAATGTCACCAAGACAGTTTGATAAACAAGGCAATATTTGGTTCAATAAGCAGCTTGTCGCACCCTGTTTGCCCAAGGGTTCAGGTACGAGCAGGGAATATGGGAAAAGAAACATTTTTGGCTTCAGGTTGCTCCTGAGCCCACACCTCCAAATGCCAGAGGGGTCAGCAGAGGCTGACACTGAGGGTTTGTGTTTTACAGCTCATGCAAGACCGCCTGGCCCAGGGAACGAGGGACAGAACAAGAGGGAACAGCCTAAAGTTGCCCCAGGGGAGGTTTAGGTTGGATATTAATGAAAATTTCATCCCAGAAAACGTCCAGCCCTGGCACAGCTGCCCAGGGCAGAGGTGGAGTCACAGTCCTGGAGAGATTTAAAAGCCACGTGGATGTGGCACTTGGGGACAGGGGTTAGTGGTGGCCTTGGCAGTGCTGGGGGGTGGTTGGACTCTCAGAGGTCTTTTTGAACCTTAATGATCCTGTGATTCCATCCTCACCTGCCAGTGCTAACAAGGGCAGTTCTAAGTTGCAGAGGAGGAGAGGGGAAAGCCAAGGGTGTCAGAGACCTTCCTGCCACCAAACCCCCAGTCACCTCAGCACTAAAACCCAGCCCTGGTTTATCCCTGTTGGAGTAACCCCAGAGCAAACCCCGCTCTGGCCACACAACACTCCTCAGCTAAAGGAAGTGTTCCAGGGACAATGGAGACAGGACAAAAAGGCCAAATAGCATCAAATATCAGTTTATAGCTGGAAGTAAAACCCACCCACCACGTTGCACCTTTCCTGGAGGTTTACACAAGGGATTTTGGTTGGTTACTGCCTCCCCCTGTCCTCTGCAACCTCCTCTGTGACCTTTGCATTGCACAAAGTCAAAAAACACCGACATGTAACACTTAAATCATGTCCTGAACTAGAAATGCAAACAAGCTAAAAAAGGAAAGGTGATTCTCTGACGTCTGATGTTCCTCCCTCACCGGGGTTTGGTGACCAAGCAGCTGCTCCAGAGAGCAGGAGGGTGCCCAGCAATGCCCAGCCCAACCTGTTTGGCCACCCAGCAGGGCAGGAATGAGGCCCCTTGGACAAGCTCCAGCCACACCAGCAGCCAGGAGGAGCAACAGGACCAGTTTGGAGGTCACCCACGTTACTGGGAGACCAGTTTTCATCAGGAGGAGGCTCAGAGCTGCCAAATGCTCCTGGAAAACCAGCCCAGCCTCGAAAGCCTGCTCAGGAAGAACCTCATTATCACATCGATAGGGGGCCCTCAACCATCAGCTCTGGCTGCACCACGAGTTTAATCCCACAGGATTAAAAATCCAGGAATGGGGCTACTGATGTGACCTGCTGTGCCATGTCCTCGTGCTGGAAATTATATAAATTTCCTAATTAATTGTTTTAATTAGCCAGTGTAATTTCCCACAGAGCAAGGTTTTTCATGAACCCAGTTCAGCAAAATCACTGAAACTTGAAATTTTGCTAAACCAGCCTTGATGTGCTTCAACGAGCAAAGCCTGGGGGAGAGAAGTATTGCTGAGAACTGGGCACCAGGAATGCAGGATTTATAGCCCACAAGGACACGTGGCAGAAACCAGAGATAAAAAAGAAACTAACCCAGACAAATCAGCATTTGCACTGAAATTCTGTCTATCTGAGGAAAAAAAAGATAACACTGCAAATGGGGGCTAATTAGCACGAGGAGGGAGAAAGCAATAACCAATAGAAGATAGGATAGTAATTAATGAAGAGAATTTTGTAATTTATAGCCAGTGAACATAAATTAATCAGTGAAAAGTTTGGAAAGTGGGTATTGCACATCTGGGGGAGAGACCCCACGTGCACCTGGCACTGTGAGTAAAGTAATCCCTGCTTTCTAATGCTAAAAAAGCAGTGATGGAGCGTTTGATTTATCCTGATGTTTCCAGCAACACTTGGTTCCTCCCAAAGCACACACTCACCTTCCAGAGGGCCAGGCAGGAAAGGGGAGGTGTTGTGGGCACCCAGAAGTGCTCCAGCTCCTCCTGGCTCTGTTGGGACGATCAGCAGCACCCGGACGGCTCTGCCACACGCTGAAGCGCCCAAAACACAGCGAGAGGTGACAGGATTCCTCATTCCCGAGAAGTTCTGGCTCGTGGAGCTTCAGGAAAATGATGCCCTGAGAGTCAGACCCTGCTGAGAGACTCTGTGTGTTCCCGGGTGCTTCTCGCAGCAAGGCTGACACCTGGTGATGGGACAGAGCCGTTCAACCCACCCTCTCCTCCAGACAGAAATATAGAAACATATAGATACATAAATATATAAATATAGAGATACACGTGTGTGTGTGCAGAGTCACCGGTAAAGGGTGACAGGACATGCACAGCCCTAGGAAAGAAGGAGGGGAGAAGACAGAGCTCAGTTATGGAAGCCAGAGATCCAGCTCACGAACTGGAAAGCCAGATTTAACTTCCAGCCT